CGAACACAGCTCACAGAGGTCGATAGCAGTGAAAACGCTTATATCCACCACTGTAAAACAACTCGTCTCTTTTTTATGACTTTATTAGTGCGTTCGTAAATCAGAAGATCAATATCACTCTCAAGTCTGTACGATCATTATGAAGCTACAGACAGCAGCCGGTTAGCTTAGCTTAGCATCAAGACTGGAAACAGGGGGAAACAGCTAGCCTGGACCATCTACCAGCACCTCTACAGCTCACTGATTCACAAGTTACATCATCTTTTAATCTACACTAAACAGGTCCTTAAACAAACTAAATACAACAAAATAAACAATAACAACTAAACAAACTAGAGCAAATATCACTTTATCAAACCAGAACACCAGAAAAACAAAAAAAAACTACACAACAAGAGTGAACCAAACCACATCAGACCAAAGCAAACTGCGAGTTATCGATCATTATGATCTGTTTGACTCACCGACGCTCTCCTCTGGCGACGGCTCCTCCAACAGAACTGCAACAAACGTACAACAACCATCACTCCATCTGCTCTAGCTGCACTATTCTTAACAGCAGCACTACTGTACAGTTAGGAATACAGCCTCCACTGGAGCGGGGCCATAAAAGCACGAGGATTCAGTCCACTGCGTGTTTCCATTCTCAGACACTACAACGGTGGGGCAACGCCGTCCTCGTCAACGCTACCTCTGCTGCTGTCGCTCTGCGAGGACACTAGCTTGTTCCCAACCAGGCGAGTCTTCCAACATCAGCTCGCTCTGCTAACCTCAGCACATGAACCATTTAGTTAAACCACTCACCTCCAGCTGTGTCTATGCCGTCAGCCTGATCCTCTGAAACAAAGGAGATAAAAACACAACCATCAACACAGCAGGAGCGGCTTATTATAAAAAACTACAGACATTTAGTAAAAGCAGAGGACGGAGGAAAAGAGATTGTACTCACCATAAGGATGCACGCTGTCTCGAGGATCATCTGTAACACACACACACACACACACACACACACACACACACACACACACACACACACACACACACACACACACACACACACACACACACACACACACACACACACACACACACACACACACACACGTCAGTAACAGTTTAATATAACAGTTTAAAGGCTGAGAGCAGAAATCAGCAGCAGGAAGAATAAATGATCATCTGAAACACATTGATTCTGACTCAGATCGGCTCTTATACTGCAGAGTTTCAACTGAATATCATATTTCTAGGATAGGACAATAGGAATTAAACAATCCAGACTTATTAAAACATATTTTATACATTTTATTTTATTTATACCCCACAGACACATTCAGGTCTCATCAGGATGTTTGAATTCACTTATCAGGTCGTCCTCGGAAAACTGACCTGGCACAAAGTCGTCTTCCACCAACGGAGGGAGAGGGACAGCAGCTGGAGATACCAAAGCACACAGGTTAAAACACAGGTTAAAACACACACACACACACACACACACACACACACACACACACACACACACACAGAGCATATGAACAGGATGTGTGTGTCTCTGTTAGCAGATTATCAGCTGATCTTTCAGACTGTTTGAGGGAAACAATCAGAGAGAGAGAGAGAGTGTGAAGCTACGAAGGTGAGAGTGAAATGTTCAACATGCAGGAAAACCTTCACAGAGACACATCCACAACACAGCAGCCGCTAAGCCACACAGTGCGCAGCAGGACCAACCTTGGATTTCAGACTCCACATCCTGAGATCTAGAGACTGGATCAGACACAGACACGTCACCGGCTGATCACAGGTGGATCACAGGGCAGACAGCAGGTATCAATACAGACTGATGCACAATGTGGCCATAAGTATGTGGACACCCAGCAGTGAGTCTGTTTCCTCTTTATGACAGCTGTACGGGGGTGAATCTTTAAACAACTCACCTGTTTAAGTTATATTAAGGCTTAAAGTTATGCACAATTAAGGGCGTGGTCGCTTTGAGTGACAGGTGGGCTTCATTCTGCCCGTGTCAGCTCCACCTCTTTGCCCATTTCTGGATTACCAATGGTAACACAGTAAAATGTTGTATAATACTTCCTGTTGTAATAAATAAATAAAATAAAATAGCAAAGAAAATCAACTTGCATTTATTTTTAATGATTTAAGACATTACAACTACGTTATACTGACATTGTTGAGTTGTTTCCATAGAGATCCAGATGGAAAACGAGGCCACAGTGAGTAACATGACACAAGAAACTGTGACCAGAGTCTGAATGAGTGTCTCATACTGCCAGCGCCAAACAGGACTTTCCATTTTACATTAACGTAAAGAAGAATAAAGTAATCTGAGATATCTAAATGATCACCGTGTGCTATCATCCACTCACCACCAGGAGGTCCACATACATATATTTATATTAAAGCAAATAACAGGCAAATAATCTGAAGGAGGAAAAGTAGCGTTGGAACATCAGAGCAGCTCACACACAGCAGCAAATCCAAAGAGCAGTGGAGCTGCTGTTCAGTTACAGAGAACAGTGATTATCTGTGCTGCCGATCAATACACATCCAAAACAAACACCTTCCTCATTATACTCGCTGTTAGCTGTGACGTTACGTACCTTCGTCATCGTCGTCGACAGGTGAGGGGCCGCTCTCTGAAACTGATCAATAAAAACTGAGTTCAAGAAAGCAGCAACTAGATGTTTTTGTACCATCACGATCCATAATATCTACAAATGAATGATTTATTGATATTGAAACGCTCAAAGAGACGTTCACTGCAGGCCCGTCAGAAATACACACACACACACACACACACACACACACACACACACACACACACACACACACACACACACACACACACACACACCTGACACAGTCTCCTCAGCTGGTGTTTCGGATGATGTGGCGTCTGTTGGCTCCGCCCCCTGTGGCTCTGCAGCTTGCTGATTGGTTGTTTCAACCACAGGCTCAGTGGTTTCTTTTGTATGGGAGATGGAGGGCGCCATAGAGAAGATACAGATACATTAAAGTTAAAAACATGGTGGATCTATAATGTGTAACAGTTCCTCATTAAACTCTGTATAAACTCTATATGTTCTGTATGTAGTTGAGTTGTGGTTGTCTGCCAGAAGCTGTCACACATTGACTGTTGATCCAGTCTGAAGCCACATTGTTACCATCCACTGTTTAGATCTTGGTGCTTTTTAACTCTAGATTTGAACCGGATGAAGGATTTTAGTCATCGGACGTCTGGATCTTAAGTTATCAGAGAAACAAGCTGAGCTAACGTTAGCAGCAGCTCGGCTCGCAGCCCCTCCGGGACGTCCTTTGTCTGTCCAACAGCGTGGGAGAAGCAGTGATTGTTAAGGTGGAACTGCTTTATTCAGTGTGTTTAAGGTGGAACTGCTTTATTCAGTGTGTTTAGTGGTTTTAATCAGCGGGTCTGTTTGTGTTGGAGAGGAGGAGACCTCTGTGGATCATTGGGCTCCCGGTAGAAACCTCCTGAACCATGAACACTGAAGGAATCCTAACCGGGAGAAGCTGACTGCAATGACGCCAATGGTGGTGAAGACAACAACTCCCATGTTGTCTTCAACTCCCATGATCCCACAAACGCCCTGTTGAACACCAGTTGGTCCCAGTGCGTGTCAGAGAGGCTAATAGTCTAATTAACCAACAGATTATTAAAATATTTGATTATAATTAAGTTACTTGACTAATAGTTTTAGCTCCTTTATGTTTCACAGCAGAGGACCTCAGTGGCAGTACTGGTTGTACTGGTTGTACTGGGCAGCTCCTGCTGTGAAAGTGAAGCTGGGTGGAGCTGATATGAAGCTTCTGTGACTCTTTGTTAGTGTTCGGTCTCATCTGACGCAGACCTGGGATCAGAGTTACGCTCAGCAGAGGTCAGTGGAGGCAGACGCGCCCTCGGGTCCGAACTCACAGGTGGGAATATAATGAAACACCGACTGGGAGGTTTTCTCAGGTATCAGGTCAGCTCGCTTGTCTGGGAGACAACAGTGTGTGTGTGTGTGTGTGTGTGTGTGTGTGTGTGTGTGTGTGTGTGTGTGTGTGTGTGTGTGCTCACCTGTTCTCTCCTCAGGTAAATCTTCCACATGTGGGGCCTCTGCCTCTTTCAGACCTGTTCAGTGGTTAGAAGTTCAGGGATCAGACACAGTCGACCTCAGTGGGACATTTCAGTGGCAGATTATTTCCTGTTTTGGGAACTTTTTATTCAATAATCTGTCTGTATTATGTATTATATTTAAATCATTTTTAACAATCATACAAACTTAATAAGCTTATTTTCTTCTCCCTGGCGTTTGGTAATTCTTCTATTAAACAACTTACATTTACTTTCTGCTGCAACATTAAAGTGATGAACACATGAATGCATCAATAATTATAATGACATTATACATTATTCTGAAATTCTGCATAATGAGTGCTTTTATTTTTGTTACTTTTCTACTTCAACTACGTAGAATCTTGTATTTCTCCACTGTGGTATCATAACTTTTACTCTGAGTACTTCTTCCAGTACTGATCACCACATAAGCAGCATAATGCCCTCAGAGGTGTTCTTTATCAGGGACAGAACCATCCCATAATGGACCTCTCCACAGGCATTATTACCCCTTACAGATCTGATGTTGGTTTACAGTTGCAACAGCACCTCACAGAAAACAACAGGTGTTCTAATTCAATCAATTCATCAACCAAAACATTGTAGATTATTGTGTATTATAGCTACAGCTATAAGAAAGCCCCACACCAGCAGCAGCAGCAGCGAGGAGGTCAGGAGTCTCTGATTATATTCTGAGGGAAGGAAACAAGAGCGTGAGAGAGCGAACAGAGGAGGAAGCTGTGCTGGAGGAAGATAGCAGTGAAACAGAAGAGGGAGGACGTGATGTTCATTACTCAGTTCAACCAGGGAACCTGTAGGGCTGCCTCTCTCTACACACACTATTTCTATTACACCAAGAAGGAAGACAAACATCTTGATTTGAAAACCAAGATTTATTTATTTTGAAATCACATTTTAAAAGGAAAAAGCAACATTATTTTAAAGTCGGTGCAATGAACAGACAGAAGAATGCAGCCTTTAAAAGGTCCAGTGTGTGCAGCTCACTTGTTTCTCTTAACAAGTGCGAGGGAGAAACTACGGTGCCCCTATTTAGATCCACTGTTTGCATTGTCCCTTCTGGGCTACTGTAAAAACATGGCGGTTAAACATGGCGGTCTCCACGGAAGGAGACCCGCGGCGTCTGTAGATAAAACCAGCTCATTCTAAGGTAACAAAAGCTCCCATGAAAGCAGTAAAATCACACATCTGTCTCTAATACAACCACTGTTTTAATAACTGACAATGCATATTATAATTGCACGAGTATTATTTCTGTTAATGTTATGTTAACTAATACTCTCTTAGATTGTCAATATAAAGCAAATCCAATGATTTACAACTCGTAAAGCGATGCATCCATTAGTGGAGCACTACACAGCACACCTACTTTCATATGATACCAATACGGGCAGAATTATGTCACTCTAATAGAAAACACACCCGTTATTAGGCTATTTTATATCCATCTCTTGTCTATTCTGACTAAATATTACATGCTGGACCTTTAAACATGAATATTTTCTGGTTTCTTTAATCCTCTATGACTGAATTTCTTTGGGTTGTGGACAAAACAAGACATTTGAGGACGTCACATATGGCTTTGGACTATTTAATGGACCAAATAACTAATTGATTGATTGTGAAAATAACCTTTAGTTGCAGCTCTCGTGTCCTGTGAGTGAAACATTGTGTGCCCTACACGTCTCTACTGCACATATCACTTATTACGAGTTCAGCAGACGTTTGAACTGCTATCGCATTGAACTCAACCCTTCTTCTACTCACCAGATGCACTAAATGACATTTAACCAATGCTCATATAACAATAAAAGTAAATAAATACTCCCAGAAAGCTAGTCAGAGCAGTGGAGAACATTCCTGTGTACGAGGAACGATCCTACCTGACTCTACCTGAATCTCATGGAGAAAAAAAACCCAAACAAAAGCAAACATCTCAAGTATAACTCTATCTGTAAGTTAATTCCTTAAGTTGAACCCTTCAGTGAGTTCGTGCTCTGGTAATGAGGTCTTAACACCAGAATAACAACAGAACAGAGAACGAATCAGAGATAAGACATCAGGGGTCGACTCTTCTGCTTCTCTAGATTTACAATCTTTCTTCACCAAAATAAAACTAAAAACATTTACATCAACCCAGCATGCAGACAGACAAACAGCAGGATGATCAAGCTTTAAGCAAACAGATCATTTTAAAAGGAATAGTTTTCACACTTTTTTGTGGGGGACATTTCCCTTTTTACCTGCCTGACACATTTCAGGATTAAGAATACTCAATTCTGAAACACCCTTAAACCACTGCACCATCAATCAATACACCATGTTATATATATGATTAGCAACAATCACCAGTACTTAAGATGGGTTGAATGGTTAAATGTTCTGTGTGTGTTGATTCACCACTGATGAATGCTAAGTTGTTTCTTACCGTGGTTAGTTAAGGACTTTAAGACCACGAGGTAGCAACTGGAGCTATCCGAGAAGAGGAGTCAACGCACTTTTCACGTGTCGGATATTCGCAGAAAAACAAACGTCAAACGGGAACTGCGGCTTGTAACTGGGACTGGCACAGCACTGCTGCATGTGCTAACTGTATTAGCTGCTGCCACTAGCTACTTAACGGTCCCATCAGCTGTCTGCACCTGGAGCCAGGTGAAAATGTACTTCGCATTGATCTGAACACACCATCATACAACGGACACATCTGGTTATAATATGAGCCATTTTCTACATTCAGATATATAGGCCACAACATTAGTAAATTCCCTCAGATAAGGTGAACTTTGTTTTTTTGTCCGTTATTAACTTTTCTTTTACTTTACTGCAGCCGGTGGCTTTTAAATTACATCATCTGCTCTAAAATATAATACAAAATACATCAGGGGCCAGATGCATAAAACAAAGACGTCTACTTCTGTCTTATAAATCTCAATCAATTATCCATAAATGGACTTTAGAAACACCATTAAAAACCCGTCTGCATATCGATACTTAGATATCAGATATTGTTTCATTTACAACTCACTTTATTACTGACTTATTTTCATACCGATAACAAACAATATCACACATTCTCCTTTTATAAATACGGGAAGAGGCGTACGTGTGCATCCTTTATACATTTAGCGGTTAACATCTCTTTTTAACGAGAGCCGACAGTCACAGAGGAAGGCCACACCTCCTCCGACCCTGCAGCCAATCAGAGTTCTAGCACCATTTATGAGATCTTTGTACCGCGGGGTCATTTTTTCTTCCCGCTCGCAGCCGCCTTCTCCTCTCTCCGGACTGCGGACGCACTCGCTCTGCCACTCCTCTCCTCCGCCGCCGGAGCTTTCGCCTGCGTGGCGTTTGTTTTCCTCTCGAGGGGCTCTTGTTTCTTCGTGGCGTTGCGCTCCCTCTCCGCTCGTTCCGCCTCCATCTTAACCCGAAAAGCCTTCTCTCTGGCAAGCCTCTGCCTCTCCATCAGCTCTTTCTCTCGAGCCGCTCTCTCCTTTTCGGCCCTTGCTGCTTTCTCTTTCTCCAGCTTTTCCTTCTCTAGTCTTGCCTGTTCCATCCTCTCCTTCTCCCGGGCGACTCTCTCTCTTTCCTTCGCCGCTCTCTCCGTCCTCTCCCTCTCCTCTCTCGCCGCCCTTTCCTTCTCCAGTCTCTCTTTCTCTGCTTTCTCTTTAGCTGCTTTTTCTTTCTCTAATCTCTCCTTCTCCTGAGCGATTCTTGCCCTCTCCCTGGCGATGCGCTCCCTCTCCATCTTTTCCCTCTCTTCCTTCTCTCTGGCTGCTCTCTCCATCTTTTCCTTCTCTCTGGCTAGTCTCTCTTTTTCCAGTCTTTCCTTTTCTGCTCTCTCTTTTTCCCTGGCGGTTCTTTCCCTTTCCTTAGCTATATGTTCCCTCTCCAGCCTCTCTTTTTCAGCTCTTTCTTTGGCTATTCGTTCCTTTTCGGCCCTCTCTCGCTCCATCCTCTCCTTCTCGAGTCTTTCCCTTTCTTTAGCGACGCGTTCCTTCTCCATCCTTTCTTTTTCTGCTCTTTCTTTGGCGATGCGTTCTTTTTCTTGGCGTTCCTTCTCTCTGGCTATTTGCTCTCTTTCCTTGGCAATACGCTCCCTCTCCAGCCTTTCTTTTTCTGCTCTTTCTTTGGCGATCCTTTCTTTCTCAAGTCTCTCCTTCTCTGCCCTCTCTCTCTCCATCCTCTCCTTCTCTCTGGCTAGTCTTTCCCTCTCCATCCTCTCCTTCTCGGCCCTCTCTCTTTCCAGTCTTTCTTTCTCCCGTTGTTCCCTCTCCGCCTTTTCCTTGGCTGCCCTCTCCTGTTCCCTGGCCAGACGCTCTTTCTCCATCTTTTCTTTCTCCGCACGCTCTCGCTCTAGTCGTTCCCTCTCTTCTCTGGCTACCTTTTCTTTGGTCAATCTCTCCATTTCTTGTCTCTCTTTTTCCGCCCTCTCTCGAGCCATCCTCTCTTTCTCTGCTTTTTCCTTTGCTTCCTTCTCTATCCTCTCATTCTCTGCCTTCTCCTTCTCCATCCTCTCCTTCTCCGCCCTGTCCTTCTCTGCTCTCTCCTTCTCCTTCTCTATCCTCTCCTTCTCTATCCTCTCCTTCTCCGCCTTCTCCTTCTCCATCCTCTCTTTCTCTATCCTCTCCTTCTCCGCCTTCTCCTTCTCCATCCTCTCCCTCTCAGTCTCCCTCATCTCCTCCTCAGCGGCCTCCAGCATCTTCATCTTCAGAGCCCAGGCGGCCTCCCTCTCCTCCTCCTCCTCAGCGAGGAAGGCCCTGATCTCAGCCAGAGCGATGCGAGCGATCCTCTTGGCCTCCATCTTCTCGTGGATCATCCTCAGCTCCTCCCTCAGAGCGGAGCGCAGCCTGGTGCCTCGGACAGGCTGGTCTGAGGTTTGGATTTAATGGTGGTGATCGTGAAATATTATTCACATGAAGCGAACACATTGACACCGACTTGTTCACGCAATAACACAGCAACCAGGGAAGTGTTAGAAATCACACAGTGCTTGGTAGTGCACTCTGGTTAAGTCTTGGTTAGGGTTTACGAAGAAAAACTAGAATCTTTCAAATAGAGTTGAGGTGAGTAAAACTGTAATAGTTCTCCTACTCTTACATTGCTCTGAAGGTCACTTCTGTACTGCAGTGTTTTTATTGCCGGTTCTTGGCTCCTGCCACTCCGAGGCTAAGTTTGTTAACTAACGTTAGCTGCACAAGCTAACTAGCTAACGGCATCTAACATTACGGTTAGCGACATTTAGTTTCTTATAGCAAGTCCATCTGGAAACTCCATAAATCTCCTCGGTACCGATGTTGTCAAACTGTCCTCTGTCTGTCTCAGACGGGTGAATGTCAGGATATTATTGGTTGAAATCAGTTAGTTCATGCTGACGTAAACACGCGTCACATTTAGTTTTACAGGAAGATAAAATGATTGGATTCTGATATAAAAACACAAAGAAATGTTTCATGGAATATACTGTCATATCGTTCACAAGTTCATAGTGTTAAATAAAACTATTTATGGATTTAATCCAATAATGGTACGACACAGCTACCAAAATCCATGCCTTAAAACATGAACATCTTTATTTCAGACGTGCAGGCGGCAGGTTTTAATACCTCTGGTTGTGTTGCTTTTAGCAGCAGACTCCCCTCCTGTGTCGTCTATCACAGAGGAGAACAAACAGCTCAGATTCATCTCTACACAGCGTTTCACAGCTCAGTGCTAACAAAGATATCAAATATAAGAGCTTTTATTCACACGGTCAGATCATGTTACCGGTTTTCTTCAGTCAGACGGATAAAGGACAATAAGACACACACAAACCCACACAGAGGGATCCGAACTCTACCTTTTGGGAGTTTTATCTCTTGATCGCTGGCCTCTAACGTCTTGTCTTCTAGGATGGGAAACACATCATAGTAGTTTGATACTGACGAAAAAACTAAACATCAAATCATCACACCAGGCAAAGCACACTGCGACCACAACACACTCGACAACATACTCATCCAACAATCCCAATAAGTAGTTGGAGAACTTTACAGTTGACTTGTTGCTAAAAGTAGAGCTATCGTGCAGCTAGCGTTAGCAGACTTCACCCCAGGGTGCCGGTAGCCAAACCTCGGTACTTTATTCCCTGCTCTATTGGCATCAGATGCTGCATTCATTCCCGGTCCGCCAGAGTCAGATAATGGGTCCGTTATAGCTGGATGTAACACTCGTTCAACACTACTGGCTACTGCGACCCCCCAACTGCCTGTTTTTTACAGGAAATACACGAAATACGCAGAAGCAGATAGCTCTCTGATTTCTGGTTCATGTGGTTCTTTCGTTGATGTTCTCTCATTGCATCCCCGCAGTGTCACACATGCTTTCAGATTCAGTACGAGTGGGAACTGGACGTTAATGCCTCACTCCACAATTCAGGATCAAACACAGTCGTGCAGTAACAGAGGAAACTACTACCTTTCTTCTTCGCCTCTTTCTTGTCTTCTACAAGGTTTGGAAACAGACAGATCTGTCAGGAGAGCTCTTAGAGTCCACACAGAGGTCAGCACACAAACACATATGTTGTGTATACAGTACCTTTTCTCAGCCTGTCTCTTCTGAGAGCAGGACCTTTCAACTTCTTTTCATCTGAACAGACAGACAGCAGAGCAAGTCAGCACACGTCGGCTGCCATTTAAATATGTCAAAATATGTATAAACAGATATTGTCTCTCTACGCAGACATTTTGACTTGTTCTAGCAAGAGAACATTAATAATGGCTGCAGTGTATTTAGGTGTCATGTCTAAATGCCTTTTTAGTGATATTTGGCCACAAAGAAGCCAGATTCAAACTGCTGTAGGAGTCTGATACCAAACAGGAAACACCTTGAATGGCAGTTAACTCTTGAGACTGACAGACCACATGAGTCTTTTTAACTGTCTGTAGTTCCTTTTATATCATTACAACCAACTGTTGACCTTTAAGTTACATGGAAACTGTGCACATTACTGTATGTGTACTGTGTAGGGGGGACGACATTTATTTTCCATTCTAAATTAAAATAAACCAATTCTTTAAAAGTGACATTGCTTATCTTCAAGCAACATATATTTTATAAAATATGGGGACTCCCAAGTATTTGTATCTTTATGGGGAAAAAATTGAAGCAAATGTCTCAGAATTACAAGTCATTGTGTTTATTGCTTTTCCAACAGACACAGACAATAAAGACTTGATGCCGCGATTACCTTCGATCTCGCCCAGTTGGAGCTCAGTTGTGGCTGGAAAGTGTTTAATATCTTGTGTGTTCTTGCTTGTGCTAGCTGTGTTAGCATCCACAAACTCCTTGTCGCCTGTATAGGTGTCATGTTTGTCTATAGTACCAAGCTTGCGAGCCTCGCTGTGTTAACGTTAACGAACCATCGACCGGTTCATAGATCGGTCTGCGATGTAGTCGCATCTATTACATTAAAACCAATTTTCAACTCATATCACTATATCTTTACACCCTTACTACTTCAGGTTTTATTGATTGACTGCAGCCTGAAACACATAAATAAGACTAAAACATCAGAATAATCAAACAGCGTAAAAGATCCGATCAGCTCGCCGACTGTCACATTTCAGAAAGCAAACAGAAAGCAGAATATCATCTATAAATGTGTTATATTAGAGATTTACAGGCAGAAAAGTAAAAGCACTGTTAATATAAAGTGAGTCTTATTAATATCACAGAATATAACAAGCTGTACAGTCACAGTCGAGCACATTTATTATCATCACCTTCAACTCATTAGCATGTTAATATCAAATAAAACTCTCTGTCTTTCTTTTAGCCATCAGCAATTCATTAACTGAGGTTAGCAGCAACTGGCCGATTTAAATCAGTCATAAACTATAGTCTCTCAGTTCACAGTGACACTGTGAAGTTTAGGAAAGCGTTCAGCTGACAGACAACAGGACTGTGAGGCTATGTGGAGCCTGACAGGCAGGGATGGGTGTCGAGAACCGGTACAGGATCCTGACTGGTCAGTGAAACATCGATAAGCTCCTGGACAAACGATCCTGCTAAAAACTGCAGGCTCACTTTACTAAATGTAATGAATGCAGCTAAATGCAGTAACTCAATAATAACTGTACTTATTTCTCTAATAATAAATAATATAACAACTGCTGAATCTTTTCGTGTCTTTATTTGTTGCACCAAATTATGGCGAGTAGTATCAATTAGAGTATCGATAAGTAAGTATTGAGTGTTTGGTTTCTTGGTTTGTCCGTTCTGGGCTATTGTAGAAACGTGGCGGTTCAACATGGCGGACTGCATGGAAGGCGAAGATAAAAACAGCTCAGTCTAAGTCAACAAAAACACAACGTTTCCAACATTCGGGGGATTAAACGCTACTGAAAACATACCTATGAATATTATATTCCATTTCTGACAATAGAGCCTCCTCAATGTGACACACTGGACCTTTAAAACAATCGTATAGTTCCTCTACAAGAATTACAAACTGCACAGACAGACGTGTTCGTTTGTGTTGGATTCCGAGAGAACTAGGTTTAATTTACCGACTACGTGGTTGCAGGTCCATCCGATTGCGTTTTTTATATATTTAAATAATAATAAATTGTGTATTTTATTAATTTTGCACAGATACCATTATATTCCAGGACAGACCGACACTATAATTGGTTGAAACGTGTTTTGATCGATTTAAACAGTTAATTTAAAATGGACCCCTTTATCTCCCCAGTTTGGCCCTGCAGAGGAAATCAGACTGTCCTCCATCAGGTCCTCTGCACCTCGACATACACACACACACACACACTCCCATCCTCCTCCAGCTGGACTGGGTTACATCCCAGTCTGATCCTCATTGGTCGGTAGTGGGACCAGGGAGCCTTGCTACTGGCTGTGGCTCTGCTTCCTGTCCTCCTATTGGTTCTGGAGGTCCAGTATGACCCCTTTGACCTCCCCGTCATCAGAGGAGGTCGTGCCACCCTCGTCCTGCATCTCAGCTGCCGCCTCCTTCCCCTCCTCCTCTTCCTCGCCCCGCTCTACGGGCGAGGACACTACGTCATAGAGGAAGGTGAAGAAGCCATAGATCCAATCAGAGCCCTCCTCAGCTAAAATATTAAGAACCTCCTCAAGCGACTCGGCGTTCGCACTACCGCCGCCATCTTTGGACAAGCCTGACGAGAAGAGAGAGGGAGAGAGAAAAGAAAGGGAGGGAAGAAGAAGAAAAACAGACAGGATGGGAGCAGAGGTGGAGATGAAGAAGGGGAAGGTAGAAACAAAGGTGAAGCACAAAGGGAGGCAGGATATTGAACGAGGAGGAGGAGGAGGAGTAAAAGGAGGGGAAGGGAAAGTGCAAGAAACAGAAGGAAAGAAGTAAGGATGTAAGGAAGGAAGGAGAGGAGATGGTTCAAAGGAATGGAGAGCAACCGTAACAAAAACAGGGCCAAAAAATAAAGGATGATGATGTGGGAAAGAGAAAGATAGTGAGTTAAAGAAGTTGCATATGATCCATAGATAACAAATAATCCTTCACTTCCTGTCTCGTCAGGCAGTCTCTGACTTCCTGTCTGCTTCACAACAAGGAACAGAGGCGGCCATCTTTGCTCTAAATGTCCGTAATATGATGAAACACATCAATGCTGCTGTTAATATTAACATTCTTTACATATCTTGTTTTTAATCAACCTGAAAGTCCAATACTGACACAGAGTGGACAGTTTGGGACATTTCTATAAAAACGTTAACGCTCTCTAATCAGAGGAGGCCGGCCCACCTCCCCCAAGCCTCCCCCAAGCCTCCCCCAGCTTCCTCTCTTGGTGGGAGTCTGTGAAACCGCTGTGCTCATTTTCAAATGTATCCTGATGGAGACGCATCATTCACAGGAGGTTATGCTAGCTGTTGCTAACCCTCTACTTAGTATGTTTATATTGTGGCGCAGTGGTTCGGACTTTAGATGCTGTAGAAGCACCGGACTGTAATCTTTACCTCAATCCCACACTGACAGCCCCCCCACAGACACACACACACATACCGAAGAGTCAGCCTTAGCTACAACACAGCCGCCGCCGCCGTGACTGTAAGAGTCGCAGCTGACTGTGTTTCCAGCATGGACGCAGATAATCTGACAGCAGCGGCTCATTAGCTCTATTAGCTCTGACTACCAGCTCACTGTTCCTGCTACGCTGCTGTGGCCAGTCTGTCAGTTTCTCTGCCATAACATTACTGTCAGGTCGTATATGTATATGTAGACGTCAGATACTTTTAGAATAATGAACAGAGAGAAAACATTCAGACTTGAACCTGAAAGCTTGTGGTGCTTTCAAGAACTCAAGAAAAGTATTTGCTGGCAGCATTTCTAGTGATTATTGTTGTTGTCCTTCATGTTTCTGGAACAGATTCACATCTTGAACTTCAATATTTCATTGATTCATCTGCATTTTAATGGTTGAAACTTATTAAACACAGTCGATGACATTTATTTCATTTATTAAACTGTATTAAATTCTTCTAATTTATTATTACATAATTTCTCACTGAAGGTACAGCGTAAATATAAATACTAATACTAATTTCTTGAATAGTTTTGTTAACTGTCCTGACTCTGGGACGGTATTTCTCCTTACAATGCAAACATTTAGTACAGTTAGTACAGGCTGCTACATGATTGTTACTGCTACCAGCCACCAGCAGCTGAAGGTTCCCACTCTATGAACTCTCAGTCACGCTGCTGATTTTCATTCACACAGGCAACAAAACAGGCGATCAGAAAGTGTGAGCTGACACACCACGAGGCTGGTTTTAGACCCACTGACATACAGGTCTACATAAAGAGTAAGACTGGGTTTACACCTGAGGCACTGAGGGACACGACTGTAAACCACATCAGGTCTTCAGGCACAACCACACAGACAGCAGGCACAATAACAGAGAACCAAGAAGAATTAAAAGTGGACTTGCCGAGCAGAACTTTAGCATCCTCTACGTCAAAGTCTCCGTCTCCATCGGTGTCGTAGGCCGTCAGTTTCCCTGAAGGAGGAAGAGGAGGAGAGGAAGGCTGAGTGACGCACATATACAGCCTCTTGTTGTCGACACAAACAAGTTTACTTTTAAAGTAATAAATGTCCAAAAATGTCCCTAATTGTTGAATAAGATGATTAATAAACTTCAGGGCGACTCAGATGTTAGGGTGGGTCATTGAGTAATCTGAGGGTTGCTGGTTCGATACCCAGCTCCCCCTCTCCAATTGTCCTTGGGCAAGATGTTGAACCCCAAATTGCTTCCGATGACTGTGTGTGAATGGATGAGCTTCATCGTGAAATACAAGTCCTCCAATAAGTAACAATTTCAAGTATCTTTAATTTATTTAATTTTTTTACTTTTATGTTGACAAAAATATAAAACTTTCAGCATTTCTAAGATTAGAAGACACTATGTGTCCTACGTCACCGAACTACTAACGATGCTATTCTTTGGTCTTTAATGAATTATACAAAACAAAACTGCCACTTTTTTTTGCAATTTTCACTTTCTCCCGCAATCTCAGTGCAAAAAACATCGCAACATGCATCGTAATCTTTTGGTAAAGCTGCTGTGGAACCAGCTTTTTAGGTTGCAACAATCCCCAAAAAAAGCCTACAATGTCCTGGAAGGACTGATTAAAAAAACAGAGACTGGATGTGATGTGAAGATGCGACGTTACTTGCGATTGTGGCAGTGGTTTGTTGTGGTTAATGCAATAATGTATTGTATAATGTGTTCATGGACCTGTAAAGAGATTTAGATAAAAACCTCAACCATTAAGTAACATTTCTTGTCTAAACCTACCAATGTAGTGACTGGAGTTCTGTACGGACCTCAAACTGAGACCTGAACCCGTCCCTACCCAAGTCTATATTTGTTTTATTCTATTATATTGCAGTGGTTCCCAACCTGGTAGTTGCCAAAGTTTCACGGTGAGGGCTTCTGGATTTTAATGGGTGTAAGAAAATTAAATTATATTGTTTGTATTATTATTTAAGATATAGACTTTCAAGATCTGAACACGAGTTATATTCACAGAACCTTCACTCTCTGATAAACAACCAAAGAGCTGATAGAACAAAGGCCAAGCATCAGGGAGAAGAAAACACTGAAGTCTGTATGATTGTTAAAAAATACATTAAACAGAATATAATATGAAACATCCATAAAATATGTCACTGAGTCAGTTTACTCAACTGGGCTCCCTTAAGGAAAAAGGTTGGGAACCGCTGATATACTGTATACCGTTAGCTTGCCAGGCTACTGGCTCAGTCGGGGGGAGAAAGAGAGACGACATATGAACCGAGCCTGAAACTACACAGAAGAGTAGCTTTGTGTCAGGAAGCAGCCACTTCTTCAAGCTATTAATAAGAACATAACACTGCATATTGACAGCCGCCGAGTGTACGTGCATTAAGTATTTATTTGAGACAGCAGGGTAAGAGGAAGAGGAAGGATGTGGTGGAGGAGGACGGCCATGTCTGTTACAGCAACTTATCACGCAGCATCTGTTATCTTCTCTTTTTCAATGCATTAAAATCAACACAAAAAAATCTTGATTAAGAGTCTGAATTCGCTCCAGATACGAGATAAAAAATGTTTAAGCTTAAATCTGCTGTCATAAGCCCTCGTGAAGATGTGTGGTTGAGGTTATCTGAACCACTCAGCTGCCTCCGAGTGCAGAGTGTATTTACTGTTGCCCGTTTTGGCTTTTAGTAAGAAACCACAATGATATAAGCACAAAACAAGTTCCGTTTAGTTCGTCGCTCTTCTTCTCATTTGTCATTTCCCAGAGTAGGTCTGTAGTCAGGTACACAGCCTTTAAATGGCCTTCTTGTTTTTTCCAGCTGAAGCCATTTGTGAACAAAACCTCCACTTTGTTGTCAAAACTAAATTAAACCAGGTGAACACATGCAAGCTTCAGTTGGTGACACACTAGTATATAGTATTATGTATTAAAGTGGAAAGATACAGCGCAGACTAGTGATAGAGCTGCTGGTTTGTGTCGTTTGGCACAATTACTACTTTCATTATAGTTTCTAGTCACAGCAAACATGTACAGAAAACTCACCGCTGAATATAACATTGGTGAGAAATAGATGCCACCAATCATCTCGACCACTTTCTACTTACAGGAAGAACTATAATTAGACTGCTTTCCGTCTACCTTTGGCCTAAAAGCTAAAACATTCCCACTCTGAACTGTGTACAAGTGTCAGCTGGATGTGGTAAAGTAGAAAATAGCCAAACACTAAAAATATAGTAGTATCAATTAGAGTACGGGCCTGCCGCCGCTGCTAAAAAAAATCCTAGAGGAAACACTGAGTCAATTAAAAATCAACATTTCGTGTTGAGTAGGTTTAACATGTGAATTAAAAGGAGTAAATTATGAATAACAGTGTAAGCAACCCTGTGGATGTGATTTTCCTCATAGTGTAAAACTTTATTAAGACTTCTCAGTGTGGTTAAATATTAACTCTTACCACAGCTGAATTGACACTATGTTCAGTTTACTGTGTAGAGCTGCAATGTAATGTGTCGTTACATTATCCCAAATGTTTCCAACAGTGTTCAAGTATACAACTCACACAACGTAGAGAACATAGGCCTAGTTTTTATGGACAGTTTAATGTGGAAATGTTTCAGACTATAGTTTTAACTCTAGATTTGAACCGGATGAAGGATTTTAGTCATCGGACGTCTGGATCTTAAGTTATCAGAGAAACAAGCTGAGCTAACGTTAGCAGCAGCTCGGCTCGCAGCCCCTCCGGGACGTCCTTTGTCTGTCCAACAGCGTGGGAGAAGCAGTGATTGTTAAGGTGGAACTGCTTTATTCAGTGTGTTTAAGGTGGAACTGCCTTATTCAGTGTGTTTAAGGTGGAACTGCTTTATTCAGTGTGTTTAAGGTGGAACTGCTTTATTCAGTGTGTTTAGTGGTTTTAATCAGCGGGTCTGTTTGTGTTGGAGAGGAGGAGACCTCTGTGGATCATTGGGCTCCCGGTAGAAACCTCCTGAACCATGAACACTGAAGGAATCCTAACCGGGAGAAGCTGACTGCAATGACGCCAATGGTGGTGAAGACAACAACAACATCTTGTCCTTTTTGAACTGAACTCGTGGTGTTCTTTGGGAAGCACACAGTGTAATATGAAACATGCAGTCACATTAGCGGACGTTTTAAATCTTGAGAGCATACCTTGTAAAACTTCAGAAAAGTTCATACGAAACTCCTTAGCTCTGGCTGCATGCAGAGACAACACACGGAGAGAGAAAAGAGGAAGAAGAAGACAGAGGCCATAAGAGATTATAGCATCGCAGGTTGAATCTGCAGCTCTGTTTGCAGTGAAAGAGGACTGAATTAGTACAAAGAAACACAGAATTACAGAGGAGACACAAAGCTGTATGATGAGTCAATGTCACACATTAGATTTAGACCTCAGCTGCTTCACAGCAAACGCCACCGATGGAGAGACTTTAATTGTGAACAGACCGTATAAAAGAAGTGGACGCTCTGGATCTGAAGAGTGAAGCCAGTGCAGATTAAACCTGCATTCTTTCTAACAGCCAGCAGGGGGCAACTCCGCTGTTTGCAAAAAGAAGCCCGATAGTATAGAAGTCTATGAGAAATGACCTCCAACTTCTCACTCGATTTATTAGTTCATCAAACAGTTTCCTAATTAGTTCATGGAGTCAAGTCTACGGAAGCCTGTTTGCCAGTAAAACACAAAAATAAGATAAAAACTTTGCCTTGATAATAAAGAAATGTTCATGTTTAGTCCAAATAATGAGATAAAAAGTCAAAATTAGTTAAAAATGTAGTAAATTATGGTCCAGTTGGGGCAAAATAGTCCATAGAGGGGGTCACGATGGCTATGTCCACTTCTTTTATACAGTCTATGACGGTGAAGCACTGAAGGTCTTTCACAAACATGTTTGTGCTTCACTGGAAAGTTTTCTACTAAAAAAACTGAATGTGTAAAAACTATTTTGATTCTAGTCAACAGTCTAGTCGTCCGTACAAAACACATTTAAAAACTTCTCATCATGTCTTCTTTCCAAACTGATAACAGAGGTAACGAGTGGGTTGCAGCACCTGTAAATCGGTTTGTGACGAGTTCTGGGCCACAAAGAAAATATCAGATATAAAATGTTCCAAAGGGGTTCTGAATAACAACAGATATGGTTTCAATTACAACTGTAAATACCCGACCTTGATGCCTGATATCTGCAGGATTTCTGCCCTTACAGGTGATCATTGTGGTGTTTCCATAAATACTAGAACATTTCAGTGGTCTGTGTGCAGTTTTGTATGACACATTTTCATGCAGCAGGGCTGACGTCACATGCAGAGCAGAGAGAAGAAGTTTCACAACACCGCCATCCCTACTGTAACCTGGTTGAACAGGGAACTCTATATATAAACTGAGGATATAAAGCTGACACTGTGCTCTTTTCCCTCATACTGTATGCAACCTTTAATGGGAAGTCGTAGCTCAGTAACTCTTATCTCTCGTTTCCATCTGACAGATGCAGCCATAAAGTCTCTAACCTTTTTCTGATTGGTCAAATGGGAGATGAAGTTTGAGATAAGATAAACATATGATACCTTCCTGTCTGTCTGTCTGTTTGTCTGTCTGTCTGCCTGCCTGTCTGCCTGCCTGTCTGCGAGAAAGAGGTTGTGAAAGCCCTTCACGACTGTCATAACCACATGTTCCGATATGAAAACCACAATTTTTTTTGCAACTTTCAGTCCAATGTCTGAGTGTCTGAGTGTCTCTGTGTGAGAGTTGAGAAGTTGCACTGCTGCAAACCAGAAACTAAGCCAGCAAATGTGTGTTTCATTATGTGTTTTTTGCTCCGGCTGAAACATGAAACTCTATACAACTGTTTGTAAGACTAGAAATCAACACAGATTAACATCCAATATGTCTTTTTTCAGAGTAACTTTACACTTATTTGTTCTAAATATTAGTGGATCTTGTGGTTTCTCTGACAGCAGCAGTTTCATTCTCAAGGAAATGCTTAAAAGTTGTAAAATTAAGTGTAACTAAACCTTTAAATTCCCTCCCAGCAAATCTACAAAAATACAGCAGAGAGATTAATATAAGGGGCGTGGCTACGAGGCTGCGTAGTGTGTGACACAACAGCTAACAGAGCCAACAAGCCATGAGCAGCTGCTGTTAGACTCTCTGTGTCCATGATGCAAACAAAACTCCAGCTTTTACAGTCACTAGAAGCACATTCACGCAGTTTCTGTGTCAGGCTAACGGCTACGTAGCAGGCCGCAGTCTGCTGAATGGACACACTGTGCCGTATGGATCTTATGTGAAATTAGATTAAATTCTTCCCCCGAGCGTTAGCCGACTACGTCTGTATAAAGGTCAGCTGTGGTCTAATGTCACACTCACCTCAGAGGTGACATCTCTTCTTTCAGCAGCATTATACAAGCTCAAATAATGTCTTCTCTTTACACACTACGTGTTTGTGATACAGACGAGCTACTGAGTACTTTCTGTGCACCTGGAGGATAAAACCCAATCCACCAGCAGAGTGAGATCAGGGCCAGATTCTGCACACCGTTACTTACCGATGACGCTGTCGTAGTCCACGATGTCGAAGTAGACCACGGCCACAGAGCTCCAGACTCCCAGCAGAGCCAGGACCACAAACCAGGTAAACATGGAGTATTTAGAACCTCCTCCTGCATCTCCTCCTCCTCCTCCTCCACCTCCTCCTCCTCCTCTCTCCGTCCTCTTTCCATTCTTGCTTTCCACCGGCGGCGTCTTCCCCTCTGAAAACATGAAAATCCTAATGTTAAAATCCTGCATTTAAAACGTGCGTTAGTGGTCAGTTTAATAACGTAGCGTGAGGTTTGAGCACCGTTGCTATGGTTACCTGTAGGTTAATATTACCTCACTGTTTAGAGCAACGGTTGTCCTGGTATTGTGGTATGACGGGCTGTAACCCAACAGACAACTGCACATTGTTAGAGACACAGAGGTGTGTGTGTGTGTGAGTGTGTGTGTGTGTGTGTGTGTGTGTGTAGAAACAACAAGGTCAACAACATGCAGATAAAGTAAGTAAACAGGCGTAAAATCGGCTTGCAGGTTAGTTTGTCGGCGGACGTCGTTGTACGGCTGCACTGTGTGGGTCTGTGTGCTTCATGGTGTCGGTAAACGGAGTCAATGGTCCAAATCAAATATAGGAACAGAAAGTAGAAATTAGAGACTCACTTGTGGATCAAACTCAAAACCTTTACAGCGTTTTATAATGTTTGATTAAAAGAAAATCCAACTTTAAGTGAAATCAAAAATCACTCTTTTCATATCAAACTATCAAGAGTGTATTGATGGGTCACAAGTGAGAAAGCACACTGACAACATGGCAGGAGCCAGAAAGGGCAGGCCGACCCAGGAATAGAGCGACAGAGTCAAGATCACCCTGACAGAGAGAGAGACAGAGAGAGAGAGACAGACAACAGCTGTCTGTCCTCCAACACTGAGAGCTGACAGACTGTAGCTAACGACAACAGCTACTTATGTATCACAATCACATCTGATCAACGGACCCAGAAACAGCCCAGAAAGTCTTTATGAGACTCTTTAGTTTGTGTTTCTAAAAGCAATAAAAAGCCTGAGTTAGCCTCAGTGTGTGCTGTCTGAATGCTTTTATTTAAAGCTGTGTTAGTGTGACAGATGGAGCATCAACCAACAGAGCTGCACAGTTAAAAGAGTGAGAGCCCGACTCACTCCTGGGTGGAGCAACATAGAAGGAGAAACCGTGTCCAAGGAGTGAGACAGTGTATTTGTTTGTATGCAAACCACAGGTGGAATGTTTCTCCTTTGGTTGTGCCACGGCAGGTTCAATCTCCTCCTCTTCCTCCTCTTCCTCCTCCCCCTACTCCTCCAAGAGATGATGCTTCTTCTTCATGTGTTTGTGTGTTTGTGCCCCTAGGTTTAAAGGTCGTCGTACGTTTAAGTCACCACACCACTTTCAGTTTCATCAAAACGAGGTCACACACACAGGTGACAAATTCAGTTCATTTCACCACCGACGGCGGTGAGAAGAAGGCGTGACTTTCATTCATTCCCCGAATCGGGCCGGTAGCACGCGGCACCGAACACATAACCTACCTGGCGGGAGGAAGAAACTCTCGTTGTTACCGTGAGAAAAAGCTACAGGAGGTATTGAGGTCAAACCAAAGCAGGCCAATAAAAACCACAGCGACTCAAACACACACGCTAACCACGCCAAACCAATCCACGCCAAACCTTTCCTACCGGCCTCCTCTACGACAGGCTGCGCCTCCTCCTTCGCCCGTGGGACCTCCTCTTCCTCATTAACGCCTCCTAATCAAACCACACCATAAGAACCAAACCCAAAACCAAAACCAGGTCCAATCTGTACACCCATCCTACCTGTCTCCTCCTGGACCACAGGCTCCTCCTCCTCCTGTATCAGCGGCTCCGCCTCCTCCTCATACGCCTCCTCCTCCTCGGCGTGGACCTCCTCTACAGGAACTGAGGAGGGTGAGGAGGAGTAGGAGGCGCCGTAGTGGCGGTAGCGCTGCATTGGACCGCCTCACGGTCTACGGGGAACACAAAGACAGGACCAAGCCAGAACCAGAACCAGAGCCTCCGGACCAGATGAGGGAACTGGGAGAACGACAGATACTGAGAGAGAAAGAGCTCCTCCTCTTCCTCCTCCTCTTCCTCCTCCCATCCAGAACCTGATCCACACTATTATTAGAGCTGACAAACCCAGGGAGTGTGTGTGTGTGTGTGTGTGTGTGTGTGTGTGTGAGATGCCAGAGAGGACAGAATAGCCCACAAAATAACCTTGACACTTGTTTGTTCACACACACACACACACACACACACACACACAGTATGTGACATTTAAAGGGACAGTACGTATAGTTCTTATAACAAACATATTTATAACCCAGGTCGATAAATACCGACGCGAGTGCTGTTCAGTTAGTCGCAATCTGCAGCTTCACCACTAGATGCCACTAGATCCTTCTTACACTGGACCTTTAAAGCAGAACCGAGCTAACAGTTTTAACTTCTTTTAGCAACGAGTCCGTCAGGAAACTCCATAAATCAAGGAAGACACAATGTTTGGATTTTAATGTTAAATACAGTTTTTGTAGGTTTATTTATTAAACAGTGGAACAATATAACTGATGTGAACTTAAAAGAGTTAAAATGACATTTTTCAATAATCAATACTATGATAATTTAATTGTATAAGAATAATGTGCAACTATCACAAATAGTCACAGAACTCAAGACTAGCACAGAAACACTTAATAATAATAATAACAACAACAGGAACATGTTTTTTCTTTGCACCAGTTATTGATAATGATATTATAAACTATATGATTATAACCTGAAATGTCTGTCAGAGGCTTATAAATGTGTAAATAAGGTGAGTAGTGTCAGTGTGTGGTCCCCTCCATCCCTCAGGAACATCAACATCAACTGCTGCCTGGTCAAAACTTAACAGCTTGTTAGCTCATGTTAGCAGGCTAGGTTAGCCTCGCCCTACTTCCACTGCTACCGCTGGACAGGCAAGCTAGCAGACACACAGAGCATCCTTTCATTTAAACTCCAGCAGTTGGTGAAGTTGGATTTATTAAGTCCTCTATATTCTGGATATTATGACAGCTAGCAACAACAATAAAAATGGCTAAACTGGCCCCGTTTTCTTATATCGCGAGAACGTCAAACCAGACTCCAGTCAAAATTCTGCCAGTTTAATATTTTCTTGGTTTGGGGCAGAGCTAAGATTTATAAAAACATGATTAAAGGCGTTTAAATAAACATATAAAAACCACTCCTCAGTTCGGATATAGTAGAATACAGAAACTATGTTTGCTTTAATACAATCTGATGTTAACACTCCCTCCAGACGCCCCGGCAGCGGGACGCGCTTTCGCCGAAAAAGACCGTGGGAACTACGGGTGATCCGGCGCTGAAAGCCGTACCCCGTGCTGCATATGGTGTCGGTATGTTAGCCGCATTAAAGGATGCCTCTAACCGATTCAGAAAACATCTTCGGTTCCGTTCTCCCCGACTTTAATCTTTACCGATTGGGCAAACAGCTTTAAATAGCAGAATATGAGATGGAATTCTGCACGGAGGAAGACAGGCTCCAGGGCTCAGAGAATCCAGCGAGGAAAAGGGTACTGACCTTTTTTGGAGTGGGTTTTGGGATTCTTCCTCTGGGCCATTGCTTCGTAAATCCTCCCCAGCTGGTTCCGGCTTATATAAGCTAACAACCTAACTAAGGTTTATTTATGATAAAAAGATGAAGCAAGTGAGAGCTCCTACTTTCTGCTCTCATTGATGAAGCGACGAGATAAAAACCAACAAAAAGAAATCACGTCCTCACTTGGATACCAGCAAAGCAAAGTCCATAGTAACCGTGAGTGGCTTTAAATTCCAACCAATCAGAGCCGCGGATCCGGCCGATGGGCGGGACTAAAGGCGGGCTCTGGTGAGTGTGGACCAATCAGGTGGCAGGAGCAGCTTCCCAGTCTCGGCTGTCTTTGGAAAGGAGCAAAAACGTGGCAGAGTTTTAAACATCTGGGGCGGAGGAAGACATCAAGAGACATCATGATGGGTGTTTTTATTCACTTTATTGATTCAGGTTTTAATGTGGATTACATAATGAATAAAAAAACAGAAAGAAAATATGATTAAAAGTCAAAAACAATCACATTAAAGTGTACAAAAACATATATTTTTATACTATACCGCAGAATCTAAAAGATTATCATTTTTTATGATTAATCATCATCATCATCATCATCACCAGGTTGCATTATGAGCTGATGAATAAAGTGAGCAGCTCCCCCTGTTGTGTTTCCCCATTAAGTGCCTGCTCGGTTTATTAATCTTCTATTGGACAAACTGTATTTATTATTATTTTACACCTGTATGTAACCACACATACATATATATCACCTCATTTATTCAATATCTAACATTTAACAAAATGCTGAATCTAAACTAAATGCTAAAAAAAACAATAGACAAAACTTTCTACGAGTGTCAAACATGTAAAATGTAAATTAAATATACCAACTTTTATTTAAAAACGTCTGTAATAGTTGTCTTACGTATTAAATATGGTCTAAATTGTTTGTTTTGTTCCTCACTTGTCTCCTTTATTTCTTCTATTAGGGCCCGAGCAGTAACACTGTGATTATTATTATTTTAAAACCAAATTAATCACATTTTTGAGGCTTTAACATCCTCGAAAACTCATGAAACACAAAATTCAACGGCAGAGGAAATTTAAGGATCCAATTGGTCCCGTACAGAATCTGCACCCCAAAGACATTTATTTCTTATTTATTTATTAATTTTATGTTATTTATGTACCATTTAGGGTGTCGGAAAGGAGGGAAAGTTGATGAATGTTTGTATATTTACGTTAAAATGAAGTTTATTAGGCTTTTATGTAAAGGCTGAAATTCTGTTAGAAAAATGAATAAAATGCTGATTACAAGATATATATCTATATTGATTTATAAATAAGAATTAAAAACTAAACACGTCAGGGGGAAACTGTGAGTTTATTGATCCACACTATAATGATTGAATATGAGCAGTGATTGCTTTCTCCTGCAGGGGGCGCTGTAGTATAACATTTATAGGAACCACGAAGCAGAAGAGTTATTATCACTCTTTTAACCTTGTGAGGAAAATAAACTGAATTCTGAAGTTTTCTCCTGCGAATAAAGTCGGATTGTTTCTTGTCTAATTAATTAATTTGCTTTAAAACAAACAGATGGAGGAAAAAGGTGAAAGAATTACAGATACGGACGAGGAAATGTGTTAACTTTGCTGTTATGTTACAGCAGAAATTTATTTTTAATTGTAACTTTTATTGTCTTTTTTAACTACTTCTACAAAGTGGGTTTTATTCTCCATTACATTAATTAGCCTATGACGTTTATACAGGTTTTTATGATCATTTTTGCATTATTTTATATTACTTATGGTGTTTTCTTTATGCTTACTTGATGCATTTTTCATGTGAAGCACTCTCTGCTTGTGATTTCTTTATGAAAATGTTTATCTTTTAGAGAATATCCTACAAAAGTGAGTGTATGAAAATGTACTGCAGTAGCGAATATGTTCCCACCCTGAAAGTTTAACCCTAACTGGCACAACTGGGGGGGGGGGCACTTGAAGTGTGACAGGACAGGTGTGCAGACTGGACAGACTGGATAGAAACATAAAGGCGCACACGCACACACACACACACATGATGTCTAAATACACAAATCATGTGTCACATACCGGTCATGACCCATGCATTAACCCCTCACACACACACACACATACACACACACACACACACACACACACACACACACACTGAGAGATGCTCATTAATGTAAATAGTTTCTTAAATTGATTAAAAATAAAACAAAGTCTGGTGTGTAGACAATGTTTCAATAGAAAACAACCAACAGAAGCTTAAATATAGAGAATAAAAATGATAAAATATCCCAATAAAAACCTGAATTACTGATGGCGGACAGTAGGGGGAGACTCTCGTACACCTCACACTGGAAACAGCAGCATGCTGGGAAATCATTGATCATGTTAGGAGGTGGGACAGAAGAAGTTGTTTGTATATTATTGGTTTTAAAAAACGAGAAAAAAAATATAATTATCTTCATCGTCTCAACAACAGGATGTTTTTATCAACTTATTTTATAACTCCAGGGTAATAAATGTCTGTTATTTTAAAGTTCTCCTCCACTCAGGAACTAGGAGGATGTTTGTGAGTGACACCAGTGAGAGACTTATATATATTTTATAGATTGTGGAGTTTTTAATGAGGTAGAAGGACATTATTGTTCTGTTGGTCACATGGACGTAGTTTAGGTATGAAAAGCAGTAACTCAGTCAATCCCATTAATTACACCTAACTCTAAAAATGAATTGTTTAAGTAATAACTTAAATTTAAACTTTATATCATTACACAGACGTAAGACTCTGCTATAAAGGTTATGATTAATGATCGTAGTGTGAAGATTTGAACAGTAACAGTATCAGTGATCCACAGAAACTTAACTGGCTAACACTTTGATATCGAATAATAATAATAACACGTAATAGGATTAAATATAATTATAAATATAACAAAATATAACTTGCTTTAAGTAAATTCACATTAATTGGTTGTATGAAGAACAGATTTTAAATGTGAGTGTAATATACTTAGTTTAATTAATTTAAGTTAATATCTTAACTTAGTTACCTTAACAAAAATGTTTTCAGCCTTAAAATATTTGAGTTAATAAACTTAAACAGTTTGAGTTGAGTTATCACATTAATTTAACCCTTAACTAAACATTTAAAGTAACACAAACGTTTGCAAGTTAAAAACAGTGTTGATTAAGTACTTTTTACAAAGTATTTTGTTTTCACAATGCAAATAAAAATGTCTAAATTAGGTGAGAACTTAAATCTGGTTTTACAGTTTTATATGAACTATATCTTCATTAAATGGACAGAAGAAGTGCTATATCAGGATAAACTAAGGGGCCGAAAACCCCTGGAGGGAAAAAAGCCCCCCAGGAGTTCGTCCACACACTTTTGGCCACATCGTGTAAATCCAGAAAAAGTCGTGTTATGATGAAGAATGTGAATCCAGTCATATTATATATCAGGATGTCTGAGAGCAGACACACAGTGAGTTAAAGGGGATCAATACATGTCAGCTGTTGGCCTTCAGTGTGTGTGTGTGTGTGTGTGTGTGTGTGTGTGTGTGTTGTAATAATAATATCACATGTTTAAAATGTTTACCCAGTTCATCCTATAGGCCTCCACTCTGCTGTGTGTGTGTGTGTGTGTGTGTGTGTGTGTGTGTGTGTGTGTGTGTGTGTGTGTGATAATAATATCACATGTTTAAAATGTTTACCCAGTTCATCCTATAGGCCTCCACTCTGCTGTGTGTGTGTGTGTGTGCGTGTGTGTGTGTGTGTGTGTGTGTGTGTGTGTGTGTGCGCGAGTGTGTGTGTGTGTGTGTGTGTGTGTGTGTGTGCGTGTGTGTGTGTGTGTGTGTGTGTGTGTGCGCGAGTGTGTGTGCGTGACAAACGCGACTTAGGGCGTAACCTCGCGATACTCCCCCGCCACCCTCTCTCTCTCTCTCTCTCTCTCTCTCCGTCCGCGTCCAGGGGGCGATCAAGCGGCGGGGATGATGGGAGTCCGGCCGGTTCAGCCCTACCCGCCTACCGACGCACCGAAACGCAGCCAAACACTCGGGACTGACGGCAAAACTTCACACTTCTCCCGCCCTCAGTTCATCTCTCTCCAACAGACACAAACACACATAAAAGCAACAGCTGGAGCCGCGAGGAGGACTTTTATTTTGGAGGTTCTTCTTGTTAATTATCACACCTGAAGAGGATGAGAGGGAATTAAAATAAAATCTCTTTTCCCGAGGTGGAGGAGTGTTGTTTCTCGGGATTAAACTAAAAAAAAGGGGGGAATAAAAGGAGAAAGCTGGAGCCGCTCCTGGAGGATTAAAGCGGCTGAAGTTGGGAAGATGTCGGAGGAAGGGGAGCAGACGGAGTGAAGCAGCCCGGTGCGCACTCTCCCCTCCCCGGCTGCACTGAAGCGCTACAGTCCGCTCCTCCTGCCGCTGCTGGAGGGTCGCTCCTGCGCTCCTGCCGCTCCTCTCTCTTCTCATCATTACTGCTCTGCTTGGATGTAAAAAAAACAACAACAACAACAACCCAGCTTCATCCTCCTTCCTCCTCCTCTTCTTCCTCCAAGAGATTTTACTCCAAACACTTTCTGTCCTTCCTGCGCGGAGTTTTGCGCTCATGGATCGGCCGCTGTGCGCCTCCTCTCCGGATGGGATTTGGCAGCTGTGAGCGGGGCGCGGTGGAGCGGTGATGGTGTGAAAGCCAGATATAAAAGACAAAGACACTTTAAAAAACCCGCAGTTTTTTAACGCAGGAGTTTTACATGTGAGTACCCGCTTCCTCCTTATTATTCCCTCTCTAAATGTCGGGGATATCGGGGCTCCTGTGGGGTGAACTCTGACCTTTTTTTAGAGCCAGTGGATCCCGAACAAACCAAAACACCTGCGACACTGAGTAAAAACCTCTTCTGTCAGCGACACACATTTCATTTTCTAATTGCTCTCCCCAACTTTAATGAGTTTGACACCAAATGTCTGCACGTTTTCATCCAATCTGAGGCTGAAACTCCCATTTAAAAGCTGCTTCCACTCACATTTCTGCACACAGACTCCAGTTTATCCTAGAAAACTCTCATTCTCATACCTGTAATACTGACACACACACACACACACGCACACACACACACACACACACACACACACACAGAGGGGTGTTTTTTTGGGGGGGTGACGCAGACTTTACATTTCAGACCGGTTCTCTTCCCTCCATCCCCTGTTTTGAGCTACTTTCGCCCTCCAGAGACTCGGTGTCCTCTTGTTCCTATGCAACCTCGCTCCTTATCAGCTGTGCCGAGCCGAGCCGAGCCGTGCCACCACTTTCCATTAATTAACTCGGCTCTGTTTATGTAAGAGATGATACATTTGGGGCTGCGGTTGCTGCTGGTTGTCATATTTTGGCCTGTTTACTTCTGTGGTTGAATCAAATAATAGGCCTATCTCTTCCGGCTGCTGAGGGAAACATTTTAATATATTTTCTACAATAATTCTGCTATGAAATACATCTAATAATGATTTAATTGAATTTTTGAATCACTTTAAGGTATTTGTATACAAACATCTCTTTAATATTCTTGATTTCAGGGGAACTTCTGTTTTTATAGAAATATTCAGTATCAAATCTACTATATATATAATATTAATGTATTCTGATATCACTATAATATTTGTATAATATTGTGTTTATGATCCCCAGCTGTGTGTTTAAAGTGTCTATAATGTTCCTATAATATTTATGTGGCACCTGATGTGTGTGTTTCGCAGTGTACAGTGTGTTTATATAAAGAAATGGCTCTGAAATTACTATTCAACGTCATATACTGTTGTTCTAATGATGAACTGTGTGTGTGGGTGTGTGTGTGTGTGTGTGTGTGTGTGTGTTGTTGATTTGCTGGATCAATTGAGGCTTTTGGTCGTGACGTTTCGTCAGTTCGAGGGAGTGTTAATGTAGAAATATTTAAATTTTTGTTGATTTATTCAAGGATTGCAAATGGTTTGCTTTAATTTTTCCTGTTTGTGTGAAAAAGAGAAGAAACAAAAGAAAAGGGGGGGATTGAACGCAAAAAACTGAACACCAGTTTGACCCGCAGCTGTGCTCTCGGTGTTTCCTTCTGACCTTTGACCTTCCACCTTCTAGACAATCCCTGACACATACGGATTACTGTGTCGGATTACTGTTACTCTGCAGTGTGCAAACAAACCTTCACATGATCAAAGTGTAAAATAACAGACGGAACAATTAATAAACAACAATTTACCTTCCATCATTTTCTTTACACACAACTTCGTCTCATATTCGTGCGGCTACAGTAAATTCATGTTAACCCCAACCTGTGCCTAAAGGTGGTGCTTACCACTGCGTCACTCTTCGATCAGGCAATAAACACCCCAAAAATAATCTTTCTACGTACATAATCTAAAGTTTTGCTCAATGAATTAAAAGATTTACTTAAAGAATATCTGACCTCTGACCCTTCCTCCTGGGGGAGTATTAACAAGAATCTGTTAGTCTAGAAATACAGTAAAGATGTGTCTGAAACAGCTCTTGAGGGCAGGAACGTAGGTGGCATGGTGGGTAGGGAGGGAAGTTGGAGGGTAGAAAACAAGGACTGGGAGAAGAGGAGTGGGTGCAGCCTGTGAGGGGGGAGATGAGGATTGTTGGTCGGAAGGTAAAGAAGGCCAGAGTGTTTGTTGATAGTAAAGACGGATGGAAGATCAACAGCATCCCTGACCCTCCGATTCTATTGGCTGAATGTTCATTGGCGTGTTTACAACCCTGAGAGAGTTTCTGCATTCAGCTTCCTCCGAGCCTTTCTGCCCAAATGAAAGAGACTGAAATGTGCATAAAATAGAGAGACAGTGAAATATATCTGACCTTCACTGGAGGTGTAAAAGTGAGCAGCCCCGCAGTCTTTGTGAGCAGATCCGAAGCTTCAAGTCAGCAAAAGAGTTGTTTGTGTCGGTCGGTCTGTGCAGATGTGACGAGGCCGACCCCGGTCTCACTCACAAGTCGTTAAATACTGGCGGCGTCAGCTCCAGGAGCCGGGATGTTGATGGAGCAGGTTTCTGATTTCCTGTTGAGTCCCACGTCGTCCAGAGCGGACGTTAGCCGAAGCAGCTTTAAGTCCAAGCTGGGCCAGAATTTCAGGCTCTCTACCTCTCCTCCCGGGGCGCCGTGGTGAGTCTGGCCTAGATGATTGCCTCAAAGTCTGCTGCTCTTTCTTTCTTTACGGTGACTGTAGGCTGTTTCTGTCACAGGCAAAACATAACATGAAAATCAAGAATGTAGTGAAGTTTGAAGGAGCTACCGGCCGCTGCATCTCCATATTTAATTTGTCACCCATATGTGTGTCAAAAACATAATTTTTTAGCATGATTTTATCAAAATATACACATGGTGTGTTTGGATTTTAGTTTTAATCCTGTGAAAACAAACAATGTGGTTGATCTAACAGTGTGTGTGGAGACAACAGTCCTCTGCAGCTCTGAATTGATCCAATCACACCTAAAGGAGAAGTTCTCACCTCACCACAAAGATGTAAAGGTGTACTCTGGGTGTGACAGTACACTCTTCCCCCTTTTTTCCCCCCCAGGCAGTCTGAGGGCTGCTTCGGAGCCGGTGCCTAATTTAGAATCAGTTCTTTGCGTTTTGACAGCTAGAAAAAAAAAAAAGGAGGCTCTTGTCCAGGAAAACTGGTGACACCATCACTTTGCTGGTCTAGAACCGAGAACTGTCGTCAATCACGATGTGAAACCCTGATTTTATAGCTTTTAAATAGCTAATTAAAACTAAACTTAATGTTACGTTTGAGGTCGGTAATTCGTGGTATGCTTGCTTGGGTAACATCAGCTGACTGACTGTTAGCTAGCCAGCTATCGTAATCTTGGCAGCAACAGTTAACGTATACAGCGATGTAATGACGTCTCCAGCCCGTTAAAAAGCACATCTGTTCTGGCACTGTGGTTGGCGTTGGCGGAGAGGGGATGAGCGTGGTTACAGGTTAACTTTTAACCGGTAGAGACGTGAGAAGCGGTGATTTTCGGTGTGCTTCGTAATGCTTCAAACCCTGCAGTAGCTGCTGTGTCGACACCTCAACACCGCTCTGCTACAGCTCTACAACAGGTGTCCCAGCGCTGCGCCGCCTGCCTCGCATGCATTACATTTGTGTGTGTGTGTGTGTGTGTGTGTGTGTGTGTGTGCGGCTATGTGAGCCCACGGGTGTCCAAACCCCATATTTGGTGCGTTTGTGTGTCTGCTTGTGTGTAGGTGATAATGTGTGTGTGCCTGGATGCGTCTCAGAGTGTGTTTCTGTGTGCGTGTGTTCAGCTGAAAAGCCCCACACGGTGTTGTGCTGTTTGTTCTGTGTTGGAGCAGCAGGCCTGACCTTTCCTGTGCCGGGCGCTGAGACAACACGAGCTGCTGTTTGACGGACGAGGCAGCGCTGTGGCTCTCTGTTCTGACATCAGTCCTGCAGGCTGAAACCAGCTTCCTGCTTATTATCTACAACCTTTGTGCAGTAAAGGCACCGTATGAAACCTGAGAGCAGCTCTATAGCTTTTATCATAGAGCTTGAAAACCCTCCTGGGCCCTTTACAATCCGCCTCTCAGCGTTTGCTTTGCATTCATTTCTTTTTTTGTGTTTCTTCAGTTTGCTTTCATGGCCATTAACTCCCCATGAAAAACACACACGTTCATGTCATATCCGATCAGCTTGTTTCTCAGAAAATAACAAAGAATCGAATGATTTGTTGACCGATGATTGTCATCACTTCTTAACAAGGACTTTTCCAGGTACCGATTATTTTCTAGCTCAAAAACATCACCTGCGTTTTGAGGAACTGAGATTTAAATTTAGGTCCTTCTTCTCCAAAACGACGGGCCATGAACTATAGCATCAGTACTGCTACAGTTTGGTTTCAGCATTATTCAGACTGTCTCTAGGATTTGGGATGGGAAGCTCGTGTAGAGCAGATAAAGACAGTGTGAGAAATGTGTGTAATTAGAGAGATCAAAGCAGAAAAATCACTCAACAGATAGTTGCTTTGTTGCTGATACAAGGTGATGAGGAATATTATATTCAATTTCTGCCAACAGATCCTCCTAAATGTTAAACACTGGACCTTTTTAAAATGTGGTGGAAATGGAAACAGGAATACTCAAAATGCAGTTTATTCCCTGCGATCAGTCTTACTCGTCCCCAGACCTGAGACTCGGACCAGGCAGATATCCAAATCTTTAAGACCCAACTGAACCTGAGCCAAATTGAATTTGGTTAACCCTTTAGGGTCTAATCGCATTATCTTAATTTTTACATATCTTCTAAAATGTACTTTTAAAAAGGGACTTGTGTTACATGATACACCGATGTGTTTTACATCAAAATGTGCAGAAAGACCTCAGCTACCTGTATAATGAGGCACTATTTGTCCTCGAGCACTGTGTAAAGAGATAATTTGACACTAAAGCTGGTGCTTGAAATGGGTTTATTAAAGTAAAAAATAGTAGAATATATGAATAGACAGCGCTTTCTTGTGTTTCTCCTAGCGCATTAAGTGAATCACGTACACTCTCACAAGAACATAGGCTTGAAAGCGGAGAGTCTACAGATTCAGACTGTATCGCAATAATATTTCTGTGCTGGATTTTCGCAGAAATATTAAAAGAAACATCGCAAAAATGGACGACCACAAGGTGTTTACTATGACCATGATCTTAGCATAACATTATTAAAGTTAGTCGTTGAAAATGTCTCATTTTAAAGTAATAAA